CTCCCACTTTAGTAAATAGACCCCCATGCCTCCTATTATAATTGAGAAAGAAATTGTCCTGAATACCCAAAGAAAAGCCATACAAAAAACTGACCCAGTCTTTTCAATATTTAATTTATTGATACAGTGCATACAACAATGAATAAAGATTTCTAAATTACTTTTTATTCAGAAAAACGGATTTATTACTAAAGGAACAGAATACAATAAGTCTCTGTTTCTACTTAAACACATCTCAACATCAAATTACTGTAGCTGTTTTCTCAGAATTTAAATAGTGTATCTTCAGTGCAGAAACTATTCTCCCTAGATCTAGGACATTACTTTTAACACACGTTCTAAGACTATCCTAACTGAGCAATCCTAGCCTTAGAAAGGGATGGTCTGATGTGATCATTGGGGTTGATTTACTAAAGGCAAATAGGCTGTGCACTTTGCAAAGTGCAGTTGCTCCAGGGCTTAGTAAATTAGCAAAAGCTCTGTTGACTTCTATCATCCAATTATGTGCAATCAAAATGCTGTTTTTTGTTGGGTTTTTTTTTCTTTTATTTTCCTTGCACGTGATTGATTGGGTATACTTTACAAATGAAGCTTTACCTCATTTACTAAGCTCTGGAGTAACTGCACTTTACAAAGTGCAGTCTGTTTGCCTTTAGTAAGTCAACCCCATAGTGTTTTTTTAAGCTACACCACCAGCAAATGAAAATGAATGTACTTTGAAGCAAAATGTAACTAGTGTGTCGGTAGGGTCAATATTCTGGTCTTCAGGGGCAAGAATCTTGCTCCATTAGTTCTCAACTCAGCTCTGAAAACAAGTGAAAAAACATGTTGCATGTGCCCTAAGCCCTAACCTGACCCTAAAACTTAACACCCACACACGTACAAACCTTAAAATATTAAAGGAACCCCTCAAGACAGAAATATGGAAGCTTCCCTTGCAGATTTAGGAGACTCTACAGAAGTCTAGGGAACCGCAGCACAATCACATCATGTGGTGAAGAAGATTACAACTGCAGGATATAAACATTGCAGGAGGCCACAGGCCAATAGTCCGGTAAACAGTTACAGGAGGGGAAGTTTGGAAAGTTTTGATCAGAAGGACTAGGCATGGTAGGTACTTTGTGTAACGCTTTAACTACCAAAGCCCTACATTTAAACTTAGAGAGACCTCGTCCCCAGATCATTCATTTTAACATTAATAGAGCCATAGGAACAGCTATGATAAAGAACTGAGACTTTCCAAAGTGTCAATTCCCTAGCAAGTTTGAAGAAACATAGCAAGTCAAAAAAGAACTTCTTTATGGAAGGGAAATACAATGCAAGCTATTAACATCTTGATCTGTGCTGTTTTTTAACTGTAATGTTTTAATTTGGAGACAGGGTCTCTTTAATTGCTAAACCAGACCCTAAGGGTCCTTTTACACTACTGCATATAAAAATGCAGTGAAAATGCATATGCAGCCCTAGGGGCTTAATCGCACCATGTCTAGTGACCTCCATTTTTCTGACTGGTAACTACAATGGTTTTGTGTTGTGTATGTATCCCATTGTGAAGTACATATAAAGTCCCCTTTTTTCTGAGCAAGACAGTTCCACATTTCTGCTTAGGTGTGGTGAATTATGCTTGCTCCTTTGTTCCTGCTTTGATTGAAAGTTTGGGATGGTACCACAATGTGGATACTTCTAACGTGGCTCCTAATCACACATTGTCCCGTTCTTGCTGCTTTTCTTCTGTATGTGCCTGGTTCACACCGGAGCAACACAATGCACATAAATATGCATGAGGATGTATGTTGCTGCACGTGCTATTCTTTTCATTTTTATCTGCAGTATGGTTTGAAAGGACGCTTGGAGTTTGTGGACATGTTTTTGTTGGCATCAGAGCTGCTGTTATCCCAATATAAGTCAATGGGAATGTACAAGTAGTTTAGGTCAGAAGCACTTGCGAAATGTCTGAAACACATGCTCAATGCACCTGAAAGCATACAGCACTTTCCTATAGACACAAGATTTAACCTTTAACCTAACAATAACTAAAGCCACCATAGAGGGTTTGAATCTTGGCCCTTTCAGCAGTAACCATCTATGGGCAGGCTGATTGTACCCAAGTCGATCCATAGAATGCCTTGGGTACAACCAGAATGTCAGATTTTCAGCATGTGAGTATTGCGAGCTGCTATAGCTGCTAGCAATAATCAATGTGTTCTCCTGGCAAGGACAGCGCCCCCCAGCCCCCATGCCAGGAGAACACAATAGCTCCATGAGAGGCATTCCCCATCAATATGGACTGTGTTAATGGGGGAATTGAGTGATTTTCTTTCCTGTAATCCGTGGTTGCAAGAAAGAAAATTGCATTGTATATGACCTGCCTTAAAGTGAAATTAAAGTCAATTTAAAAAAAAAAAAATAACAAACATGTCATACTTACCTGGTTTTGCACAGAGCAGCCCCATTCCTCCTCTTCTCGGGTCCCCAGCGATGCTCCTGCCTGGAGAGGGGGGGAGGGGCCGAGCCGTGGCTCATTGTATGAATGGACACGCAGAGCCAGCGGCTCAGGAGTAAGCATGCTTGGGTGCCCCCAGAGCAAGCTGCTTGCTCTAGGGGCACCCAAGCAGGCTCACTCCCGAGCCGCTGTTCTTCGTATCCATTCACACAGTGAGCCATGGCTCCCCCCCTTTCTCCTCATTGCTCATTGACTCACTGTCTGTGACTGACAGCAGCGGGAGCCAATGGTTCTTGTGGCTGTCTCAGCCAGAGAGTCCCTAGAGAGCTGAGCTCTCATGCACATCGTGCTGGATTGTGATTAGGGGGGATGCTGCACACAGAAGGTTTTTTACCTTTATCCATAGAATGCATGAAGGTGAAAGACATTGAGCCTTTACAACCATTTTAAAGTAAAATTCTAGGCTATCCCTAACTAATCTTAAAAATGTCCCCTCCCCACCTATTCTATCTAACCTGTGTAAGAAAGATCTGTATACTTACCTATTTTCAGACAGTTCTGGTCACACAATCTCCCTTGTGTCAGCCAGTGCTGGCTACAGGAGAGAGTGCTCAATAATGGCTGGCAATGCCCGGTAGCGGTGACACCATCTTTAGGCTTGCCATTGCTCATCGGTTGTTGGCACTGCCTCTTCTCCTCTGCTGCTGTTGCTGGCTGGAGAACGTGGCGAAGCCAGAGAAGCCTGAAAATAGGTAAGTATATACATCTCTCTTACACAGGTTAGTCAAAATTTGTGTTAGGAGGGGGAGGGGCATTTTACAGATTAGTTAGGCATATCTCTAATTCTACTTTAATTCCTGCCGTTGAATTGTAGGGCACCAAAATTCTGGCTTCTCTGATTGTCATCTAAAGTCCTGCGTCCTGTGCCGAGATGTTCTCTGTTAAAAACAGCCGATTTGCACCAGGTTAAGTGCACACCTTGACTTCTTTTGTGCTGATGTTTTGTTCAATGAAGCTTTCCTGTCACTGCCTGTCTGCACATGGAACACTGCTCACTAAGCCTTGTTAAAGGAACTCTTTAGTTGCATTTTAGTGTATTTTCCTCTAAAGCAGGGGTATCAAACTGGTGGCCCTCCAGCTGTTGCGAAACTACAAGTCCCATCGTGCCTCTGCCTTTGGGAGTCATTCTGGTAACATTCAACCTTGCAATGCCTCATGGGAATTGTAGTTTGGCCACAGCTGGAGTGCAGCCAGATGAACACCCCTGCTCTAAAGTGTTTGTAAAGCTTCACCTTCTCTCTGGCTGCAGTGTTTTATGAAACTTTCAATAAGGCAATGCCTGTTGGGGCACCCAGGCAGCCAATGCAGTACTGAGACCAAGTCTTAGTAAAATGCCCTATTCAATGGGAGATGGTGTGTCCAGAGATGGTGTGTCCGGAGATGGAAGAAGATATGAAGGGAGGAACACTGCGGCGTAAGAAGGGTGATTAGTACTTTCAAACTTTGTTTAAACACATTTAAGCCCAATTCTTTGCATTACGTTAAGAAAACCTTCCACTAGCTGTTCTTCCTCACCCTTCTTTCCCACTTTCCTGACTCCTCTATCGATCCAGCTCTGTACACGGTGGAAGGTCCTCTCTCCTCTCTTCCTGCTCCCACAGGCTACACTGAGAGCAGCGGGAGTCATTGGCTCCTGCTGGTGTCAGTCAAATCCTGTGAGGGGGGAGTGGTAGGGCGTGGCTGAGATGAACTTTGTGTGTCTATGGACACACAAGCCCATACGGGTGCCACCTTTAGCACATGGCTTGCTGAGGGAGCACTCTGAAAAGAGGAGGAGTGGACAGCGCCGGTAGGGGACTACAGAAAAGGAGGTAAGAGACCACTCTGTGCAGTAACACCCTTTTTTATTTCAATAATAAAAAAATTATTTTAAAAGTGCTTTAAGAGCTTGCTTTCTTTTCAGCTTGTTTTTACAAGCTTTGAATGACCATTGTTTTAGTACTGCATACAATTTTATATTTTTGGGGTAAACTTAAGCCTTTTGGAGTTGAAAATGTATTAAAAAAAAAGTAATTGCTGAAAATTTAAACATTTTGCAAGATAACACAAATAATTTTTTTAAATGCTTTTCTCTAATTAAATATAAAATAAACATATAAAAACATTTATTTAAACCACATCTGTGTGAAATTACCAATAAAGAAAATTCATATAAAAAAAATAAGAAAACAGATAAAAATCTTTATGTGGTGTACCGTGTTTAAGTGCATCAAGTCAGAATAATTTTACATCCATGAACTAAAGCGCTTTTTTTTTTTTTTCTTTTAAAATCTACTGCATGCCATATCAGTGAAGTGCTATCTTCATAGAAATATGGTTTAGAATATCAAAAACATAGAACGTGAATTTTTCAGCAGTTTTCTCTATGTTACACACAAAAGCCACGGGACATACACTGAAATTTAAGTATTTACAGTATAAATCACTAAGTAATTAAAAAGAAAGAAAAAAGATCATGTTTAAGCCACTGCCTGCAATAGCACTCCGGACATTTGTATTATGATACAGAAGAGATGGGATTGTGTGGGGAGCCCATCTGGGTCAGAACCTTGTCCAGCCATTGTAGAGGACCGTGAAGATGGATCTCAATCCAACATGGAGTGCTGGTGACGTCTTGACGGTGATATTCTGCTCCCCAACCCTGAAAAATAAAACAGGCAGGATTTTAACCAGTTCAGCGTTTGCATGTGCAAAGGAAACAAGGTAATGTTTGACATTTCTGCTATTCATGCTTAATAACATTTTTTTTTATATATATATATATATATATATATATATATATAGATATATATATATCTATATATAGATATATATATAGTTTTGTTATTTTGTCTATAAATTGCATAGGTAATAAAATATTTTTACTTATCTGTTTTTTTTTTTATTACCCCCAAAATTATACTTACCTAGGTGGATGCAGCATTGGTCCGATGCTGCATCTGTCCCACTGCCAGCTCTAAAGGTGAAAACTCAGTGATCATATGACCGCTGATCGTTGAGAGCTGTCACCGCTGTCTGCTCTGCCCCCTCGTGCACTCACTGGAAAGCTGGGCTGCGAAGGTGGAGAGAGCAGCTGGTTCAGGGTCTCAGCGGCTTGCTGACAGGCTGAGCCAGGTCCGCTACAGACTCTGGGCTGGATCCCGACTTTAAAGCCGGGATCCTTCTCCAGCCTGGACTGGCTGAGTGACATCAGCCGACAACATGCTTCAGCCTGCTATCAGCTGAAAATGGGTCACAGGAGTACAGAACGAACACAGGAGGAAAAGTACAGCCAAAAGAGCTTTGGCTGTACTTCTTTAATTTGTCCCGTTTATAATGACACTGAAATTCCAGTACAAAACATTAAAAAGCTGCTTACAAATAAAATAAAAGTTGTTTTTGTTTTTTTTTCTTTAAATGAACGAACGAATGAAAATGAATAAAAAGCTAACATAAAAAAATCAGTAGACAAATATTAACCCCTTGACGCCGAGTGCATGCAAATATGCGGCCTCTCGACATCTGGGCCTTGACACCGAGCGGCCGCATATTTGAGTGCAATTAGAAAATACATATGTGCTGAGAGCGCGAGCCCAGCGCGCTCCCAGCACATATGTCCGTGACTCATGGAAAGGTCCCGATCTCCCCTTTCGATCGGGACCTTTTCCGATCACGTGACCACTGTGAAGGCAAATCACAGCGGTCACATGACCCTAAAACCCCACCCGCCTCCTGGCCCTTTAAGAGTTTCAGAAGCCAGCGCGAAGAGGTTAACAAAGGAGAGAAGGGGAGGGTGGAATAAATAATGGCTAATTAGAGTTAACTAAAATTTTATTTAGTTGGGAATCTATTTAAAAAAAAACATTTACACCCCCCGGTCACATCGGGTGCAAATTGGCATGTGATTTGCATGCCGTGCGACTTGCAAATCTATGCCAAGTCGCACCCAATTGTCTGCTATTAGAGCGGTCATATCTGTGCGGTTCTGACTTGGTTGGAGCAGCACCAATTTTTAAAGTAGTGCATGAACTACTTTTGCTGTGACTTGCATAGACATCTGTGTCAGATGTCTTGCAAATCGCAACTGAAATCAGTAGGTCACCCAATTTTGAAATTGTGCGACTTCACTGTAAATCACACGATTTCAAAATCGGCTTTGATGTGACCGGGGGGTTATGTGACTTTCACCAAGAATTCACTGGTGGAGGATTAAATCCCGCCATATAAAACACATGCACCTTGAGGTTCACCTACAGTGAATGTTTGTTGAATGTCAAATTCACTGCCTTATAAATTTGTCCTTAAGTATTTTAGGGCTCAACTGGTTAAAGGGAATGCATAGGTTTCTACAAATATGTAAGTACAAGATGTGGTTGTTGTACATAGCATAATGGAGATAAACAATGTACTTCTATTGTCACAGGAAAATATATAGTAATAACGAATACCCCAAATGTAATAAGAATACGTGCTATATTTACATCATGCAGTGCCTGAATGTGTCTTTGGAAATAAGGACTTTTGGAGGGCAGAATGTCCATGACAGTAGAATAGACAATTGTTTTGAATCTACCCATATCTGCACATTCCAACAGATGTATTGGTATGTTCTGCTATGTAGACATGTATTTTTTAGCAGCACAGCCTACAAAACATGTAAAAATGTAAAGAGCTGCATACAATGCACATCAATGTGCTACAACACACCGCAGTACAAAGAACTGTATAAAGTTTAAAATGGTTGTAAACCTCAGACATGAAATATGAACAAAGCATATCCCTCTATAGTGTGTGCTTGTCTCAATTAAGAGCACTAAGTGTCATTTCTGTCTGCTGCTTCATTCCTCTGCTATCTGCATGAATCACTTCTGACAAGACACCAAGAGAAAAAAGGTGACCAGGAGGGGCCTCCAGCAAATTGACAGCCTCAGCTCTGTTCCTGTGAGCTGTGTAAAGGGGGGAATGTGTCCTTTTTCTCCAATCACCTTTCAGAACTCTCACAACTGAGCTGTATAAAGCTCTATAAATTTAGCACTTAGAACACATATAGAGAACAGGAGGCTGCAGATAAATAGGTACAACTTGTGTAGGAGGATTTGTATCACCTGAGGCCAATCACTACACTGGGTATAAGTGAGGGTTTACAACCACTTGTAAAAAAAAAGCCTTACAATGTGTTTGAACAATGCACTGCAAAACACGGCGGTGTGTGCTCTCACCACACAACAGCCCACACGTGTTACACGCACAATAAAGCACTGTGTGGTGAGGACAAGGCCAAAAGGCCTAATTCACAAAGCATTACAACAAGGTTAAGCATCTTTGTTTCAGCCATGTGACAATAATTCTCAAATCTAAAATAAACAAAACTGAAAATAACTTTTGGAATTACATAACTCTGTTAAAGCTGATATTTGATTTCATGCTTTCAGGTATTATATAGGTATCTGGGATATATGTATTTATTATGATTGCAAGGGCTGCTGTATATGGTGATGTTCCCAATTAACCACTTCCCGACCGGCCGTTGCATATAAACGGCCGGACGGTGGCACTGCAGGGTCGGGTGGCCGTTTATAAATGGCCTCCCCGCACCCTGCTTGTGCCCGCTCCCTGGGAGCGCGCAGCACCGTAATCCGGTGCCCGCTGTGTCCTCCGGACACAGTGAAACACCGATCGTCGGATGGGACCTCTGTACGAGGTCCCGATCATGTGATCACTGATTGGCCAATCAGTGATCACATGCAAAGTAGTAAGCAAGATGTCACTTGTGACATCATTGCTTACTACGTGTGAAATCTGTGAATGATCACAGAGGTCACATGGTACAAGGCTATTCACAACAGCCTTGTACCATGTGACAAGCTGTGACCAATCACAGCTCACACAGTACTTCTCAATGAGTGCAAGAATGCACACAGAGAGAAAGAGAAATGATTGCTTTTACACCCTATATGGGTGTAAAAGCAATCAGTGTAAAAAAAAAAAAATCTTCATCACCCCCCACAAGTAGTACAGTGTCACCATGGTGACACTGTACTGCTAGGGTGACAGTATGTAAAAAAAAAAAAAATAAATAAAAAATAATAATATAAAAAAAAAATAAAAATGTAAAAAAAATGTTTAAGAATTATAATTTTTGGTTATAAACTAATTTGGATTTTTTTTTTTACTAAAAAGATAACGGAATAAATTTTGGCAAAGATTTATGATGAAATTTTATTTATTTGCAAATTTTTATTAAAAAAAACCCTTTTTTTAAAAAAAAATTTTTTGGATATTTTCATTTACATAGCAAAAAAAAAAAAAAATCCCAGCGGTGAATAAATACCACCAAAATAAAGCTTTATCTGTCTCAAAAAAATGGTAAAAAATGAATTTGGGTACAGTGTTGCATGACAGCGCAATTGTCATTCAAAGTGTGATAGCGCTGAAAGCTGAAAATTGCCCTGGACAGGAAGGGGGGTAAAAGTGTCCGGTCTGGAAGTGGTTAAATAGAAATATAAATATTAGTATGTTTGGATAATAAATGTGTTTTGCAGCATGCTGTTTAATAACATCTTTGGTATTATTCATATTATTTTGTATTTTAACTCCTTAGCGCCAATGGTACGCAGATATGCAGCCTCTCGGCGGCTGGGCCTTGACGCCGCTTATTTGCGTACCTGATTTAAACAAACATGTGCTGAGAGTGCACACCTGCACGCTCCCGGCACAGTTACCAGTGCTTCAGTGATTGGGAGCTTTCCGATCATGTGACCACTGTGATAGCCAATCACAGCAGTCACATGACCCTAAACTCTGCCTCCCGACATCAGAAACCCTTTAAGGGGCTGGGTGGTGCCAGTGCAAAAGGGTTATAGATGGGACTTTGTAGTCAGAAGCTCATGTTCAGTGGTCAGTCTATAAAACGTCCATATACAATTCACTTGGCAGCTGGGAAAAAGGCCTGTAGGGTCAAATCAAATTACTGGCTAGCTGCCAGCCTGATAGCCTACACAGTGATAGCTGCTAGCGATGAGCCAAATGCAGTCTGGATACAAGACCTGCTTGGGGTGAATGCTGAAGATTATAGGGTTGATTGACTAAAGGCAAATAGACTGTGCACTTTGCAAAGGGCAGTTACTCCAGAGCTTAGTAAAGGAGGTGAAGCTTCACTTTGCAAAGAATACCCAATAAGGAAAAAAAAAAAGACAGCATTTTTTACTTGCACATGATTGGATGATCAGCAGAGCTTCCCCTCATTTACTAAGCTCTTGAGCAACTGCACTTGCAGAGTACAACTTCACTTGCAAAGTGCACAGTCTATTTGCCTTTAGGTAAATCAAACCCTATAAGTTGAGTATCAACTGACAGCTATGAATTGTATAGCAGTATGTATGTGTCTTGATTACAAACTGATGCTTCTGACTGAATATTATAAAGCAACTTTCTGTGATTATATGTTGGAGGTGCTGATCTGCTTTATTGTATACAAGAATTCACTGTGCAAAGGAGTACCTGATATGAATTGGCCGGTCATTTCACAGGTATGTGATTCAAATCTAAAACAATTTTACTCATCCCCCTGCTATGTTCCCTGTTTGCTCCATAGGGCTCCATACAGAAATAAATGATTTGAAAAGAAACACGTTTAAATCACTCTTCAGAGGGCATTTGAAAAGTAGTGAGAAGGCATGGTATTGCCTCTTCACTGCCTGTTTTAACCCCATGCTAGTGCCACATCAGTTGAAAGGATCATGTTCAGCGGGTGGTACTGCCTACTGAATTGCAAAGCAGCGCAGCATATGTATTCCTCCCCCCTCTGCTGCCTTTGCAGCAAAAGGGGGAGCATTTGGGATGTGGTAAAATTGCAACTCAGGCATGCATTTTTACTGCCCCAAGCACAAGTGTAAATGAGGTGCTCTCTGGTTTGAAAACCTAATGCTCTAAGACAGCCTTTCTCAACCAGGGTGCCTTGAGGTTTCTTCTGGGGTGCCTTGGCAAAATGTCCAAAAAATTGCCCAAAACTTGTATACAAGCCAGCGGGTGGAACAGGCCTGACTTTTAGTTACACAAAGTCACAGGTTTTCATTGTGCATCATTATGACCTTCTAGTCACCGGTGTCCTGACAACTAGTGACAGCATCAGCTGATAAGGAGGATGTTGGTTGCCTGCACAGCATCTTTGTTTGACCCTCCCCCGCCCCTCTCCGTCAGTGCTGGGGTCACATCTCAGTGAGGGAGAAGAGAAACATTGGAATACTAGTCCGTACCAGGGTGCAAAAGTGTATTTTCTTTGGAAAAATAAATCACCTTTAATGTTGGGTGTCCTATGTATGTGGATGTTGCTGCGTTATATAAAACTATTAGAATAGTTTTATACATTTTAGAATGGGGTGCCCTTTTAAAATTATGGACAGTCTAGAGGCACCCCATTTCAGAATAGGGTGCCTTGGGACGGTCCATAATTTCAAAGGGTGCCTCGGGACGGTCCATAATTTCAAAGGGTGCCTCGGGACAGTCCATAATTTTAAAGGGTGCCTCGGGACGGTCCATAATTTCAAAGGGTGCCTCGGGACAGTCCATAATTTCAAAGGCTGCCTTGGGACGGTCCATAATTTCAAAGGGTGCCTTGGGACGGTCATAATTTCAAAGGTTGCCTTGGGATTCATAATTTCAAAGGGTGCCTTGGGGCAGTCCATAATTTCAAAGGGTGCCTTGGGGCGGTCCATAATTTCAAAGGGTGCCTTGGGGCGGTCCATAATTTCAAAGGGTGCCTTGACTGAAAAAGGGTTGAGAAACACTGCGCTAAGAAACCAGTTTAATCAGTTAATCATGTATTAAATACTCATCTGTAAACTACTGAAAAATGCAGACCCCTGGAGTAGAAGAAGGGCTAGTGCTAGTGAGACTTTAGGGTAAGGGTATAGAGAGGGGTAATACAAGGATTTAGGGTGATCGATAACCATTACATTAAAAAAAAAATAATAGTGCTTACTTTTACAAAGCTCATCCGGATCGTGCACATTTTGGTCAGCTCGTACACCACCTCGAACCCTTGGTTAACGGACTGTGACAGAAGCTGGGCAAACAGCTGGTTATTGAATATCTTCAGGCTGCAGCCACTTGGGATCTTGCACACGGTTGCTGGGTGGAAGCCATGCTGGTAGTTACAGTTGCGACTTTGTACAAAAATACTGCTGTCACTGACGCACTCTGCATATACCTCACCGCCGACATAGTAGAGGTGAACTCCTAGGGGCAAAGACATCATCTTGTTATACAGAACTGCACTTACTCCATTCAATAGTCTACTCATTTTTAGATGTTCCCCTGGGATGGCCTTATGCCACATGTACACTAGAACTCCCCTAGATGTTAACTCTCCTGGCAGAAGAAAAACGCTAAACGTGGCACCGTGTTTATCCACAATTAGTGCTTGTACTGGCCATGGAAATGAATAAATGCACTAAATGCGGCTAGTGCTTAGGCACGTTTACACTCGATTTTGCCGCATTTGACTTTTTGCCAAAACGTTCCACTTCTAAAAGTGATTCTCCTGCATTCAGGAGAGAAGCATTTAACTGCCTTTAAACTCTGCTGCTCCTAAACTCAGGTAAAAGTGTGCATGGACACTTGGCTTTTTCTGAGTTGAGTTCAGAGGCTTTGGCAAAAAAATGCAAAAAGCTCCTAAACTCACGTTTAGGAGCAGCAGTGTGCATGAGGCCATATACTTCCTGCCCATTCATTTAAAGAATGTATAGCACACACCATGTTAACTAGATACAAAAAGGCGAGAGGAAAGCAAAGTGGTGCTAAATTATATTCAGCTTTCTCCCAAAGGGACCATCCAAAAGCAACTTTCAATATAGAAAAAAGATCATCAAGATCATGAAATTCATTGGTAGTGCTACCCCCGCTGCTGTATTTAAATAGTACCTTCCCTGGCAGTGTAGAAGCTACCAGTCACACAAGCAACAGTCCATTCACTCCGTGTGATTAAACAGTCTGGGGGGGTCTTTTTATGATTTATTGCTTGCAAAACTTTAACAGGTGGAAGACAAGGGGCATGGGACACTCCAAAACGCTTAAGAGCAGTTAGCAGAGGACAGTCTTCTCTTGGTAGTTACAGAACAGTCTATTTTCCCATAGCTGGGGACCATGAGGTAGCTCCAAAATAATTAAAGTCTCATAGCTCGGGACCATAAGATAGCTCCAGAATAGTTAAAGTCACATAACTGGGGACCATAAGATAGCCCCAGAATAGTTAAAGTCTTGCAGCTGGGAACCATAAGATAGCTCCAAAATAGTCCTATTGTGCAGGGGACCATTAGATAGCTTCAGAATAATTAGTCTCGTTGCTGGAAACCATAAGATAGCTCCAGAATAATTAGTCTCGTTGCTGGAAACCATAAGATAGCTCCAGAATAGTTAAAGTCTCATAGCTGGGGACCATAAGATTGCTCCAGAATAGTTAAAGTGCCATAGCTGCATAGATGGGCAGCACAGTGGCTAAATGGTTAGCACTTCAGCTTGGCAGTACTCGGGTCATTAGTTTGAATGCCAGCCACGGCACCACCTGCCTGGAGTTTGCATGTTCTCCCTGTGACTGCGTGGGTTTCCTCCGGGTACTCCGGTTTCCTCCCACACTCCAAAGACATGCTGGTAGGTTAATTCGATCCTGTCTAAATTGGCCCTAATATGTGTATGTATGAATGTAAGTTAGGAACTTTAGATTGTTCAGCCCTTGAGGGTTGGGGACTGATGTGAATGTACAATATATATGTTAAGTGCTGCGTAAATTCACAGTGCTATATACAGTCATGGCCGAAATTGTTGGCACCCTTGATATTTCTCCAGGAAATCATGTATTTCTCACGAAACGTATTGCATTAACACATGTTTTGCTATACACATGTTTATTCCCTTTGTGTGTATTGGGACAAAACAAAAAAAGGGAGGAAAGAAAGCAAATTCGACATAATGTCACACAAACCTCCAAAAATGGGCTGGACAAAAGTATTGGCACCCTTTCACAACTGCGGATAAATAAGAATGTTACAAGCATGTGATGCTCCTGTAAACTCACCTGGGGCAAGTAACAGGTGTGGGCAATATAGAAATCACACCTGAAAGCAGATAAAAAGGAGAGACGTTCACTTAACCTTTGCATTGTGTGTCTGTCTGTGCCACACTAAGCATGGACAACAGAAAGAGGAGACGAGAACTGTCTGAGGACCTGAGAACCAAAATTGTGGCAAAATATCAACAATCTCAAGGTTACAAGTCCATCTCCAGAGAACTAGATTTGCCTTTGTCCACAGTGCGCAACATTATCAAGAAGTTTGCAACCCATGGCACTGTAGCTAATCTCCCTGGTCGTGGACGGATGAGGAAAATTGATGAAAGATTGCAACGCAGAATAGTCCGGATGGTGGATAAGCAGCCCCAAACATGTTCCAAAGACATTCAAGCTGTCCTGCAGGCTCAGGGAGCATCAGTGTCAGCGCGAACTATCCGTCGACATTTAAATGAAATGAAACGCTATGGCAGGAGACCCAGGAGGACCCCACTGCTGACACAGAGACATAAAAAAGCAAGACTACAGTTTGCCAAAAATGTACTTGAGTAAGCCAAAAGCCTTCTGGGAAAACGTCTTGTGGACAGATGAGACCAAGATAGAGCTTTTCGGTAAAGCACATCATTCTACTGTTTACCGAAAACGGAATGAGGCCTACAAAGAACAAAACACAGTACCTACGGTAAAATATGGTGGAGGTTCAATGATGTTTTGGGGTTGTTTTGCTGCCTCTGGCACTGGGTGCCTTGACTGTGTGCAAGGCATCATGAAATCTGAGGATTACCAAAGGATTTTGGGTCGCACTGTAGGGCCCAGTGTCAGAAAGCTGGGTTTGCGTCCAAGATCCTGGGTCTTCCAGCAGGACAATGACCCCAAACATACGTCAAAAAGCACTCAGAAATGGATGGCAAAGAAGCGCTGGAGAGTTCTGAAGTGGCCAGCAATGAGCCCAGATCTAAATCCCATTGAACACCTGTGGAGAGATCTTAAAATTGCTGTTGGGAAAAGGTGTCCTTCCAATAAGAGAGACCTGGAGCTGTTTGCAAAGGAAGAGTGGTCCAAAATTCCGGGTGAGAGGTGTCAGAAGCTTATTGATGGTTATAGGAAGCGACTGATTTCAGTTATGTTTTCCAAAGGGTGTGCAACCAAATATTAAGTTAAGGGTGCCAATACTTTTGTCCAGCCCATTTTTGGGGTTTTGTGTGACATTATGTCATATTTGCTTTTCTGCCTCTGTTTTATATTTGTTCCAATACATACAAAGGGAATAAACATGTGTATAGCAAAACATGTGTTAATGCAATACCTTTTTTGTGTGAAATACTTGATTTTCAGGAAAAATATCAAGGGTGCCAACAATTTCGGCCATGACTGTAAGTACCTGTAATAAATAAATAATAGCTGAGAACCATAAGATAGCTCCAGAATAGTTAAAATCTCATAGCTGGGAACCATAAGATAGCTCAAGAGGTAAAAAATCTCATAGTTGGGAACCATAAGATAGCTGCAGAATAAAGTCTCATAGCTGGGGACCATAAGATAGCTCCAGAATAATAAAAGTCTCATAGCTGGGGACCATAAGATAGCTCCAGAATTGTTAAAGTCTCATAGCTGGGAACCATAAGATAGCTCCAGAATATAAAAAGTGTCATAGCTGGGGACCATAAGATAGCTCCAGAATAGTTAAAGTCTCATAGCTGGGGACCATGAGGCAGCTCTCTCATAACGCAGTTTTAGGGAGTCAGCCAGGGTCTCTACGCAGAAGTCCTAGAGAAGCTACATCCTCAGATTTGATCTCTTGATAGAGAAGTCCAACAATCAGTCCAGAGGAGGTTCAGGGGCAAGCAGCCCCCTGAAGCTCACAGATCAATCTCTGGCAGGGAAAAGACAATCTCCTCAAGGCTTCAGGCTATTTGCCACCAACCAGATTACCTTTTAGTCACACATCCCAAGGGATTGGCCAAGGCATAGTAAATATTCAGGGCACTTATTTTAATTTCCCGCTCCAGTGGTGTGAAACTTCTCCCAGAGGCAGGGGGAAACAATCAAACTCGCACAGATGTCGGCAAGTCGCACTGATCAGTGGCTCTGACATCGCGTTGAAGTAGTGCGATTTCAAAGCCCCAGTCAGTGTGTACCTGGGCTTAATCAGTTTTTCTCCCATTTTTTAAATGTTTGTCAAGGGAACTGGTGAAGTCAAAGGCCCCTTTCACTCGAAAAGGAATCCCCTTGCTCAGCGGAGCGCAACGGGTGGATGACAAGTCCGTGTCCTGCTCCGCTTTGCTCTATGGACAGTCGAATTTATACAGACAGGCTGTCCATTTACACCCAACTGCCATCCGTTTTGATCCGCCCAGATGGAACCACTTCCATTTGCTTTTAGCGAATCGGATAGGAGGTAGGTGGGTGTAAATGAGCATAAGACTGTTTACACCTGCCGCTCCATAGAAGAGAATGGAGGATTCGATCAGGTCTGCCGGCAAAACGGACAAGCGGACCCAATCGGGACGATCGTGTGAAAGGGGCCAAAGTGGTATAAAGATATCATGAATAATAAACTTCTTACAAAAATAAGCCAAAATAATCTGACAAAATACAGCATAATAAAAAAAACTTTTGATAAACAGTTAATTTCACCCTGTCCTCTAATAAAAATAATGCATTGTGACAGCTACAGTGTTGTAAATTCTTTGCAAACATTTCCAGAAAAAGAGGACTAGCAGGTTTGTTCAATAAATATTAGAACTACTTCCTCTTGGCAACAGCCAGTCAGCACGTCATCTGATATGTATGAATACCCAGCTCTGGCCTTAATAACACTTTGCAGACACTTGTAATGCGGCATTAGATGGGTATCTGATCATTTGCACCTGCTTTCATTAGTTTAAATGGAACTAAATCAAAGAATAAAAATGTAATACATACACGTTTACCAATCCTTAGATGTGTTGGCTACATTATGTTTCTTTTTTCGGCATCTTTTCCTTTTATTTTAGATAGGTGAGAACAGTGTAACTGAGGACAGTGCAGTAAATGCAGAGAGCACAAAAGCTGTCAAGCTTTCTGACAGGATCAACAGATTTTTTTTTGCACTTGTCAAGCAAAAATAATGAAAGTCTTTCAAATATATATTAAGAGACCACTCACACTTGTGCGACTTGTCATGCAACTCTGAG